GGATTAAAAAAGCACAGAAGTGTGTGACATGCTTTTGGAGATTGGTCTCTATCTTTGAAGTAAGGGAAATCACTCAGAAACATCTACACCTATCTGATGGAAGAGTATCTGTTCTGCTCGACGATACCAAGAAACAGTTATGTAACGTAGCAGATTACGTTTAGTGTCTGATGTGAACAAAATGTACCGAAAACGTGCACAGCATTCTGTTATCTGACCACATGTTCACGGCGGTATAAAAAAATCACGGTGTTGCCGGAGAGTCCTCCAGATGCAGGTAGGTTGGGACGATACTCGGAATTCTGTTGCAGTGGTGTTCTTTTGATCAATATATGGATCAAATGTGAAGAGTTTTATGCTCAAATGCATAACAGCACTTTGGAAATCGAGGTTTAAGTCCAAAACTAATCAGGATCTGCCAACAGCGCATACTTTTGTGTGGGTCGAGGATTTCGTTTATCCAACAACACAAATAGAATCACTATACTAATAAACAGGCCTGATGATACAGGTGTAAGCCTGATCACAAGGTTGATCGTTTTGAGAGGCCGCATTTATAAACTGAGTACGAATAGAGCAATCTTTCATTCCTATGTCATTGTGAACGTTTTATTTGTTTTAACTGATTTGCGATAGCTAACATGAGCACATTGTTACTTCCAATGGTTTGCCCTCGCAAATGATCCATTTCTATGTTATCATCAGTCAGTTCATAAAATGTGATCGCAACGTATTGTGATGGGAGTGAAACTTTATACAATATCAACATAGACAGAATATATTTTAACGAGGTAACTTGATGGTGTAGAAAGCTGAAGTCTGCAGCAATATTTTTTACACTTAATAATATCAACAGTCACATAGTAAGCAATAAATTAAATTCTCTTCGATACCAGGAAATTAATCCATGCATCATATGCAAATGTATTTGTAAGAAATGGGTGGAACACATGCATGCGTCAATAGTTGACGGACACAAATATCATTGCGATTCGATTAGGATTTTTCGATGCTATGGTTACAACATAGACTGGCGTTTTGTCTAGCTTAAGTGAAATGATTATTCGGAATAATTCGAGTGCGATGGTGACAGTGGTATAGATAACGTGAAGTTCAAGTTTCGTTTTTGGACTCATCAAATTCGTCAAACTCGATTTCGTTATTTCAATCTAAATTCGTGATTTTATACTGTCGTCGACGTCGCGTGTTAGCATATCAGTAGGCAAAAAAATTTTTTTGAAAGACATCGAATTTAAACTTGTGGCTAATTCTGTCGCAATTTATTCATTCGTATCTGCGACTGATGATTCAAACGGAACCAAAATTTCTTGTTGCAGGTTTGGACTCTGATTAATAAAAAAAANAAAAAAAACAATTGTCATTTACAGCAAATATCAATTAAGTAGTCGAAAAACACCGATCTACACAACAAAATAAACAAATTACAAAGCGAAAACGCGTCTGCATGAGCATATCACAGAGCTTATCATATCACAGGGCTTATGTCACCAGGAAAACATACAATAGACTCCTAAAAGTGAATTTGTTGAAAGACACTGAAATTCATTTCACGCAAGTCTCCTCAAATCAACCGTATGAAGTTGAATAAAGTCCGAAACGTCTTGTGGTGTCCGTCGAAAGCCCGTTATACGTATTCGTGACAATTTGCGGAAAATATGCACTGTAGCGAAAGAAGCAAACGTAATGAACATCATCAGAATTATCAATGTTGCTGGATTATCATCTGGAATAGAAGAAATTCTGAATGAATCTCAGCGAGTATTACCACAAAACATTGTTACAAACAAATGAAAAAATGGCCACAGCTATGATAGAATTTCCTAAAATTGGTCATCTGAAAGCGTTGATTTGAAATTTGAAATGAAATCGCTGTTCATTTAAAATGAACTGAAGAAATTTTCCAGTCACTGTTTTTGTGAATGCCAAAATGATCACATTGAATAATCGTACAAATTTCCTCGGGTGGAGCAGCGAAACAATCACGTAGCAATGGAGAGCCACTCTTTGAAATAATTCAGTTTTTTGAAACGTCTAAACAGATTGTTATACCGTAGAAGGAGGACTTTGATGATACAGCTTTCATTGGCGAAAATCGATCATGGATACCGCAGTGGTCGGCAATCGTGAAGTTGGGCACTGGAGCCATTTTCTTTAAGAAGGATGTTTGGTTGCTGTCCGGGAGCTTAGTGACCAGCTCGCCTGGGGAATAGATCAAATATGTTGGATGAATATATAATACCGAGCAAAATTCATTCTTTGAATTCATTATTTTTACAGTACTTAGCAGAGTTAACGCCAATTCAGGAGTGTGTGTCATTATCAGGAGAGCCAATCCTGGATACCTAAAGAATTTAGTTCAGCGAGATTTCCTTAGTTTGGTTATTAGCGACTCATCCACGAGAAGAACTGATGATAGACTCTTACATCATCGAATGTATTTCTCGGAGTTTGTCTGATCCCAGAACGAGTACAACTAATCGAAAGGTGCTAGTTGACATTCGATTAAGGCAACCAACTTTTCAAAATTCCGCAAATATCTGAAGGTGGTTCAGTATCCACGTGTATGTGATAGAATCGTTTGTAGAGATCAAATGAAATCAGTCGGTATTTCAGTGAATTGAGACCATCGTGATTCCATAATTCACGCCATTTATTCAGAAGTCCATGCCGACATCTGAACGCATCAACTTCATCAATCAAATGACTGACCGTATCAGTACATGCAATATCTCACTTCACATTCTAAAATTCCCGAAAGTGAGTCGATTATAACGAAAGAGTTTCAAGGAATCTTGAAAAGTTCTACAGCAGCTTATCAGCATGATCATATCTGATCAATCATTGGTGAAAATCAGTCATAATTGTTTTTCGGCATCAGCTAAAATCTTGAAAACGAACGGATTTTTTTCGTTTCCTTTTTCATTGCTCCCATGTCTCAACATCGTATACGTACCAGTGTTGTTTGGAGCACGTACAACTTCGAGTTTGCTACCGTGAACACTGTAATGCATATCTGCTTACGATTAGCCTACGGCCTGGATCTCTAAAGAAGCATTCAACTGAACAATGACGATGTACTGTCTAACGCTTCATCTCAATATCGAACAACAGTTCTATTAAATACGTCCGTTTCAATGATTCTCGTGTTCGAAATCATCACCTTCAGCTGGAAGCTGAACACTGAGTTGTTGAGAGCTGAAGTAGTGGGAACTTCGTTCAATTTTTAAATACTAATCGCAGCGATTGACCTTTTCATCAAAACCGCAACT